GGAATGAAGGGAAGAAGCAGAAAAGGAGGGAGCAAGAAGTTGCCCTCTTTACAATAATCAGCTCCCCTTCCCAGGGAAGAACAGCACTCACACGCTGAGTAATCTGTGCAACTTGCACGCTTTCCCTAGAGAAACATGTGGCATCTTTTCAGTCAAGTTTCTTCTGGGCTGGCTCTCAAGTGCATCTCCAAATGTTTTCTTGCAAGCCCAGGCTTTCCTTATGGTGCTGAACCACCCAGCTATGTCTCAAGGCTTTGTATCTATTTGGGAAAATTAATTTTGTTCAGTGACTGTGCATCATGCTAGAGATTGATGGGGGCCAAAACAAGCTTCTGGGACAGTTGGTGCGTGGTTCATCAGTAAGGGAGGCATGACTGTCAGACCTGATTTCTTGGCTCAGAAAAACTAGAATTAAACCCCACTACAGAAGGATTAAGGCGTACATAGGGACAGCAATTCAAGACAAAAGAGAAAACAAAAGCAAGAAAATAGTGAAGAATGGAGAAATGAAGAGGTATTAACTTGAACAAAGGATAACGCTTCAGTAAGTGTTAACTTTCTATTTGGTTCAGGCTTTAGCAATGATTTTGGAAAGGCCCAAATGTCCTGGAAATGGCCAACAAAGGCAGCTCTCTTTCTTTAAATACACAGCTGGCAGAGGTCCCATGCCAGCTGATGTCTGTCCCTACCGACACCCATGCAGAGTTTATACCCTTCCATGTCTGACTTGTAGTACACCAGGAGGACCTGTTTGTTTGAACTAGTCTTTGAACAGTTGTATAGGCAGATTCACTGAGGATAATCAAAGAAAGGACTTGTACTTAAATATTTTGACAATGCCTGAGTGACAAAAATGCATTTGGGTTCTACTTGATAGTTTATTCCTAATCTGCACATGGATAGATTTCAGGTTTTTCCATACAGGGCAAAATACAGTTTTCTCTCAGCATCATTCAAGGGTTAAGTATAGAGTGTGCATATTCTTCACATGACTCAACTGAGCAACAGGCAGGCTTTGTACCTAGATTTAGTTTTCCTTCCGATAACACACTGAATATCTGTAAAACAGAGGAAAATGTCTAAATGTATTTACTGTTCATATTTCAGTGACTCTGTACAACTGCTCTTACGGACGAAACGACTGCAGCTTATGCCTCGCAGCCCATCGCGACTATAAGTGTGTCTGGTGTGAAGAAGATGGCAAGCCCAGCAAGTGCGTTTATGAAAAACTCTGTCACGTTCCTCCCACCGACACGTGTCCTCATCCAGAAATCACTCGCGTAAGATTGCTTTTTTGTCTCCCTACCAGTGTATTATTTTTCAGAAGAAAACATCCAAGCAAGCTCATACTGAAAGGCAGTTTTTTTCCTAGGGTGTTAAGTAAGCCTCTGAAATAGCTGCAAGGAAATAATGCCAGTAGTGATGTGTGTGAGAGATTTGTAAAGACTTAAAATAAGGGACTGAATGGAGTCTTTGAGACTCCTTGTTTTTCAAGCCTTGTCCTCACTGTGCCAGAAACTAGGCTAGCAGTGTACACTTAAACGTGGCACATGATTCTTGGGAATTAGCATGGATTTTTTTTCTCTCCTGAAGTCCTTTCTACTTGAAATAAGTCTATAAGAGAGGTTCACTGCTCCTGGACCTACGAGCACTTAGTAGGCTCATTGACAGGCTTCAAACTAGACTTTTAAATAGTATTTAATAAGGGAGCAGGTTGTTTCTGCGTCACAATGTGTTTTCCAGGTGTCAGTGATATTTTCCAGTCCACACCAGAATCAAACCCAAGGCTGTAGAAGTTGAATGTAAGAAGTCAGAGTGGCCAAATGTGCATCCCTGACTGACTCTGTGGTTGGAGTGTTCACCGAGGGCAAGGGACGAGCATTGTCCACCTTGGTGGACCAGTAGCCAAAGCAAGAAGTGATAAATCCTTGTCCTTTTCAGCAACAAGCCAAATGCTGTTTTTCTGGGCATAATTGTTGAAAAAAAGAGTGATATGTACTTCCATTGGGCAAATCTAAATTGCTGCAACAGTGGTATCAGTACTTTGAAACACCGTTTGATGAGAACGTACCCCAAGGTGTCACAAATGTGGTAACTGTATGGCAGGGGTTGAGAGTCGTAACTGGGATGTTTCAACTGTTCAGTTCTGAAACCCGTGGCTCAGATTGGTAGAGACGCTGAATCTCCTGAAGCTGCACAGTTAGAGGTGCAGTGTGGGTACAGGCAGACCGACAGCATGCTGGATGAGGTTGGCCATGATGGTGTATCTAAGAAGAAATGGCAGGTAAACAGTTGAAGTCTGCCAAGGAAGGCAAATACCCTGAAATCTCGACAGAAAGTGTGGAGAAGAATACTGGTGTAATAGTTTTGCCCAGATAAAGATGATTTGAGTGGGAAGGAAAAAGAAAATTAAGAAAAATAAATGTGTTTTCACCTGGGATACTGTTTGTACATGTTGTGGTTTTAATACTAAATACTAAAGTATTTGTTTTTTCAAAGCTTTTGTTCGCTTCAGATTTGAACAAAATATTTGGAAACATCTACACAAACTGTTGAGTCATTTTTCAGCTAGTTTATTTATGAGTTGAGTGCAAAGGGATGGCCAGTGGGCAGAAGTTTTAGGAAGTTGAACCAGTGGGAAAACAGAGCAAGTGATTCTGGAGCTGGGCTGGGCAGCAGCAGCCATGTCTCTGTGCTCAGACATGCTTAGATCTAAGAAAGATTTTGATGGAGCAGACATTGAAGTCCAGACTTTCTGAAGCTGTGTTTGTTTGGCTTCCAATTACTGCATTTGGAATTGTGCAACCTCCTTCTTCTTGATGGTAAACTTGCAGCCCTCCAAGGCTGAAGACCTGAAAAGGTTGTGCCGGAGGTGCTCCAAATATTACATAGGAAAGCAGGTTAGTCTCCCAACAAATACTCAGAATTCAAGTGCCTGTTCGGGCTATATTTCAATCTGAGAAGTCCATTGCAACTGCAGGATTTTCTCAGTCCTCATTTTAATTGCAAATTATTTAATTAGCATCAGCCCATGTACTGCAACATCCTACCATTTGATGCATTAAGGAAGATCAGGGGACTAGAGGAACTTTTGAAGACACTATGTGGGGCAGCACTGTGTGTTAGGAAGGTGCACTGTTCTGACGTGAACCTAAAGGCAGAAAATCACGGCAAAGAAATGCTAGAAAAGCTCCATGGAATGATTGTGAGAGGAGCCCAATCCATTTGCTTTTCAAAATCACCGTGCTTTAGTGGAGGAAGCAAACTTAAAACAGAGTAAACACGAGGCAAGAGGTTTTACATAGCAGTTTGCCACAGGAGACATGACATCTGCAGCTGATGAACATGACTGGTTCTGAGCTAGCAAATGATTAATTAACATTAAAATGTTACATGGCATGTTTTTGTGGGGATCCTACAAGAAACATCTTTTGCATTTCAAGTATGGGTAAGTCAAAGTAGCTTTAAATAATACGGAAAAGCAACATGGTCACTGCAGTATTTAATTTTGCCTTTTTTTTTTACTTTCCCTCATGCATCACAGATTGAGCCAAAAACTGGACCACTAAGTGGTGGAATTCTTTTGACCATAATGGGATCTAATTTGGGAATAAAAGCAGAAGATGTAAAAAATATAACAGTGGCAGACAAGGAATGTCTTTTCAGAGAGGAATTCTATTCTGTTTCCACAAGGTAATTGCTGGGTATTTTTCACAAGACTTTAGAAGAAAAAAGGAACTTCTGCATTTTCAGGGGAAGATGATCTTCCTGTGGTTGTAAAAGATTATCAATGGAAGGAAGAACTAGTGTGATACACCTGTAATGTTTCATAGTAACATGTCTGAGTTTATTTAAAATTGGTATAGATTCTAATACAGCAACAAATTTACAATAGTGTACTACCATCCTGCTTCCGATTGATTGATTTCTTTTTCCTTGTTTGTTTGAAAAGCTTTCATAAACTATTACTGCAGGTATCTCAAGACTATTTATTTGTTTTTAAATTAAAGGCATTCTAGGTGTGCATCTAGTCATTAAAATCTTTGCTAAATCTGAACCACAATGCAGCCAAGCATACAAGATTTATGGGAAAGTAGGCAAAGCAAGAGGAAGCTTAAATCTTTTTGTTTTAGTCCAGCCACACAGTTTCTTTCCTGGGGGCAGGGAGGGAGCCCAGAATTTTGGTTTAGCTTTAGATGACTTAAGTTTCATCACAGAGCCAACAAGTCCATGGATGTTGAATTGCCTAAGCAGGTTGGTAGATGTTTTGCGGATTGCTTGTCACACTCTTAAGCAGTGCCAAGAATTAAAACAAAGTGCCTAAATTCTTTTAGGTATCTAGGCGTTTACTACAGATTATATCAAGCATCTAATTTCAAGAGGGAAATACCCTTTTGATATTAGCTGATAAAAAGCATAGCATGAAGGTTCAGTAGTAATATTAAGAGTAATGACGTATTTTAAGCAGTGTGATTTTTCTTTCATTCACTTTTGATATTTAAAGTTGCAGTTGAAACATTGGCTTTCTTTCCCTTCAGTTAATTTAAATTGTAATACAGTAACTTTTTGCTGTTTCTGTGGCATGTTTTGAAAGGGATTGTGAAGATACCTAAGTGATTATTTTAGCTTTTGAAAAATGTTTAGCTTTCATCAGTTTGTGGATCAGGCATTTAGAAGCTTCCCAGGTCGCTAGGACTTAAGAATGTATATATAGCTATATATCTCTTACTGCTTCCCAAATCCATTGCCATCACTCCTGCATTACATGTGCATCACCATCTACAAAATTCCCAACTCTTTTACAGTCATCTTTTCCCATTCCCTATTTTCAGTGTTTGCAAAAGCTGCACTGAATTGCAGCAGAGCCTTACAAGAATTTCCCCAGCCTCTTGGCTTTTTCTAAAGCTTTCTGATATTTTTAAATACATGGAAAGGAGCCAGAACTGAGATGACTGGTTCCTTGTATCATAGCAACATTACTGGTTTCCTAAGCTCTGTCAGTGTGGTAATGGGTGAGAACAAATGCAACTTGCACAGTGTCATTTATCAACAAATTAGGGGGTTTTGAAGGATGTTCTCCATTAGGGAAGCCCTGAAAAATAAGTTACTCAAAATCTCCAAATAGGTATCTATAATTTTCTGTCTTTATCTTCCTCCATTCTTTTGTTTTATTACCACCTTCTTTTATTTAATTTACTAAAAAAAAAAAGTGCCTAGTTTTGCTCCTGTATCCTTCTGCAGTAAAAAGCTAGTCATTTTTAGGAGACAGTTGCTTCCATGGGCAGGAGAGCGGTGAAATTTAAGGCACTTAAGGCTGCTTTCTGGCTCTGCGGTGATTTAATTGCTGGCTTTTGAGAAGTCCTGTTCTCATTCTTTGTAGTTTTCCATTAGTAACATGGGGGAAGGGAGGCAATGCCAATGCTGGGGAAGGGAGGGAACTTTTCTCAATTAAAATCTCAGCTAACCACAGTACGGCGTTTACTGCACACACACCCCCCGGCCCTGGCCCCCGACTGCTTTCCCTAGCTTGACATATGGTAGAAATTCCTCCAAAGGCACCGTTTCCTGTTTCTGCCTGACAAGAAGATACAACTTCCAAGAATACAGTAGAGAGATGATGAGGAACAGACTCAGGCAGCCATACACATGCCAGGACATGCAAGAATTTAGAGAATTTTGTCCATTTGCCAGTACCCAGGCAGAAAAGTCTGGAGTGATCTGCAAAGGGACTGGACAATCCTTTTATTATAAGTCCCAATTTAAGTACATTATACCCAGTAATTTGGGGTTGTTGGGGTTTTTTTTCTATATGAGGTGTTTTTTTTAAGCAGTCATGCACTGCTTGAGGAAGAACAGCAATAATGCAA